TTTTTTTTTTCCCTTTCCCTGCGATGAGGAGCTGTTGTAAGTTATGGCAGGCACACAAAGGGTTTCAAGATAAGCCCTGTGTTGTAAATATTATTTAAAACTCAGTGAGTGGGACACAGAAATTACTCTGAAATTCTGCACCCTTAACAAGAGGCTTGTTTCCTCTCTTTAAAACCTGGGAGAGGAAAAGTGACTTAGGAGCTGCAGATGAGTCTCAGACTGATTTTTATATATATTTATCACGCTGAGTCTTGGTTCCTATGAAACAGACTTTCCACACAGATTCCTTGACTCATTCTAAGCTGTAGCAAAATGTCTGGAAGCTGCCTGGAAATTCTGAGTGTGCTGTCTTGCTCTAATTTGCCCTGTTGTGTTTTTGGCAGTGGTTATGCTGTGGCCAGCAGCAGCGATGACAGAATGAATGAGCCACCCACTTCTCTTGGGCTTGTTCCTCACCAGGTAAATCATTGCTGATAAAACCTTTTGTTGAAGGGCTGGGAGCTGATCATCACTGGTGTTGTCTCCTTAAAAAAATGCTGATTCTGTTTCCCAGAGGGCTGACTCTTCATGTTTATTAAAAAATAAATATCAATAATATTAACCCATCACACAGGCCAGGCAGGGTGTTCCTGGCACTGGGTTTGTGCTGCTCATGGACACAAAATTCCTGCTACCTACTGAGCAGGAGTTTGCTGGGAGCAAGAATTTGGAGCAGAAATTAAGTGAATAAAGCAATTTCTGAATTTTCTTTTCTCCATCACAGCTGCCAATATGAGCATCTTGAAGTCCACTTTTTGAATCTCTTCAGAGTTTTAAAACAAATCAGGCAACTCCCAATTACGTGAATTGGCTGATTTTATTTATTTATTATTGTTATCACAAAGTCTTCACATTGTTTTGGTACCATACAGAACTTTTTTCTTCATCTCAACCCAAATTCCACTTTCAAATGTCTTAACAGTTTTTCAAAAATTCTGTTTCAAAATTTCACATTTGAGGTATTATTAAAATATTGCAGAGTTACTGAAGTTCTGTTCTTGGTGGCATCTCTTCATTGTAATAAACAGAATAAAAAGGATGATCAGTACTCCAAAGAGTTGCCAACTGTTGTGATCAAACACTGCTGCAAAGTGTTTAAAATAAACAGAATAAAAAGTATGATTGATACTCCAAAGAGTTCACAACTGAAGTGATCAAACTGTGCTGCAAAGTGTTGTCAGAGCTCCCTCTGTTAGCAGAAATAGTGATCTGGAATTTTAAAATTGCCTATCAATATCATATTAACATCATAATTGAGGAATGCACAGCAGCTGAATGTTCAGACTCTAGGTTATAGAGATGGGGAAAAAATGTGTTTGAGCTGTGACACCATGATTTTTTATTTTTCATGGAACTTTGCAGTCAGAAAAGTCCAACTGCAGATGGTGCTGTGCCTCTATTTCTGGTGAAGTGATGCTGCATTTATTGTGCTATTATTTCTACAGAAAAGAAAATTCCCTACAAGTTTTACTGGGAAGGACTGTTAGAACATGGTGGATGTTATTTTTCTGGAATGTACATGTCCAGTTCAGGCTGAATTTTGGAAATGTTTAAAATAGTAATGTAATTTTTTTTTTTTTTCATCTTCTAGATCCGAGGATTTTTATCCAGATTTGATAACGTTCTTCCAGTCAGCCTGGCATTTGATAAGTGCACAGCCTGTTCAGCCAAGGTAAGGCTGAGTTTGTGCTTTCTATTATTTTTATATTTCTAGGTCAATTCTGGGGAACTTTTTAACATTTTCTTTGATTCTTGGAATCTGTTCCCACTTCAGGTAAAAGTTCTTTTTCCCTCATAGTCTTTTATTTTTAGCAATTTTCTAAATTTCTTTGGCATCACCTCTTAGCATGCTGCTCTTTTTATCCCCACAAAAATGCTGCCATCAGCTGAAGAATCCAAGCAGAGACTGACCAAGACATTGCTGGGAAAAAAAAAATCACAAAAATCCTTATCACAAAAATACTGTCATTATCTTTCAGCTTTGTAGGAAGAAGTGAGGTTGATATTATTTAAGAAATGCTTTCTGTTGTCTGAAATTCAATAAATATCCCTTTAGCTTTCTGCATCTTCTTGTCTTTCCAAACAGGCAAAACTGTCGAAATTTCAAGTTTGTGATACAAAACAGACCAATAATGAACAATTGAGGGGAAAAAATTGCTTCTTACCATTTCTTTCTTGAACAGATTGTTCATTTTGCTGCTGGTGCTGCCAGTCCTGAGTCACCTCAGAGCTCCCAGCTGTTTCTTGGCTCTCTGGGGCAGCTCTTGCATTGTTTCCCTCTCCTGTGGCTTTCCAAATTTCCCTCTGGCGAGCTTTTTCTGGCTGTGGACTGCAACTTCCAGAAGTTTTCCCTGGGATCTCTCAGCAGGGAGATTCAGAGGGTTTTTGCCTCATGGTCTGAAGGGCTTGGAGTGCCATGAGTTTATTTCACCCTCCTGTACCTTGAGGAAGTGCTTGCAGAAAGTTCTTTTTGTTCCTTTCACTGTCCTCATCCTCCTTCCAAAGAACAATCGTACAATAATGGGGCAATTTCTGGAGAACTTGCACAATAATTCTTCTCCAGTGATCCTTTTTTTTCCCCTCTGGGCTCTCTGGGTACATCTGACAAGTTTTGAAGGACTCTCAATGTGCATTTTCTCTTCCAAAGTTGAAGCACTAGAGTTGGGTGTTTCTAAAAACAACAGCAGTTGGATCTCCCCTGTTGAAGAGCAGCAGCTGAAACCTTGATGGTGGAGAGTTTAAACTGTGAAATGCAGCTTTTTTTGTTTCACTTTTCCTCTCATTTTCTCCTTATCTCCAATTCAGGAAACACTGCCATGTAAAAACAATAAAAGTGTACATCCACACAGATAAATTCAGTGCAGGGATCAATTTTTCCTTAGCAAATCATTTCCTCTTGGAGGTCATTTTAAGAGAGCCTCGTTTTACATAAACAGACTTGATGATTTAATAAAAAGTGCCTTGGATTTTAGCAGCTGTGCTATTCCCAGAGAGATCACTTTTCATGTGGTTTGGGGATTGAATTTCTTGTGTGCTGAAAAGGTTGCTCCATTGGCTCACAGATTTCCTTACAGTAGAAACACAGCCTTTGTTTACTTTGCTAACTTTATTTATTAGCATAAGAACATGTCACCCTGCATTATGTGGAAATCTGATGCTGATGCTTTGAAATGACAAATCCAATTATGATTTCATTGTAGTCTCTGTGTTGGTTTGTTTTGTAATAAGGTAATTTAGGATTTCATCCTGCTCCGTGTCAGAATGACTGGAGGCTCAGACTTTCAGCACAGATAGAACTGAATTTGCTGGCGTTGTGTTTTTCTTTGCTCAGCATTCTCCTCCTTGAGCTCTCTGGAACTCTTAAAGCACAAAATGAATGAATTAGGAATTTTAGAAGAATTCCAGTACAGCCTGAAGCCATCCAGGAGGACTCAGGAGAAGCTGCTGATCTGCATGTTTGGAGATTGGGGTGATTTTCATTTGGACTCACTCATTCCTTCATTTCTCTGCTGCAGAAGCTGCAGAGGCCAGACATGCAAGCAGCCAACTTCCCCTCAGAGCTGTCCTGCCCAGGCCACGTGCCAGAGAAGCTTCCTGCAGGCAATTGTTCAGGAATTTTGGGATGCTCACAGCAGGAAACCGAGCTATTTTTATTCGGGGCCAATTTTTCCTTGTATGATTCCCCTTCTGTCTTATTCTGGTCCTGCAGGAGCTGTGCTGGAATGTCAAATATCCCTGTCAGGGCTCAGGGCTCTGAGAGCTCTTCGGGAGCCAAACTTGTTCTGGTACCAGCAAGGGACACTCCAGAGCTCTTTGGGATGGATATTTTTCAGGCAATATTTAGGATGGATATTTTTGAGGCAAAATTTGGATATTTTTCAGGCAATATTTGGATGGATATTTGTCAGGCAATATTTAGGATGGATATTTGTCATTTGGATGGATATTTGTCAGNTGGAAGAAAGGAGAACAAGGAGGAGCTGCAGCAGAATTTCCACCAACAGGAGGTGCAGATGAAGCAGTGCATCTTCCTTTATATTTGACTGGCTGCAGTCATTGTTGTGTTGATATTTGTGCTCCAGATTCCTCTGTGCACTTGGCACAAAGTGGAGATGAGGACACAGGAATTGTGCAGCCCAGCTGCTCCTGCTCCCCGTGTGACTAAGCAGATGCAGATGAAGCCCATAAGTAATCATTAATTGCTTTCCTTACTGAGCAGAAATTGCTTTGGATAACAGATGGGATTTCATTGCTTGAAGCTGCTGTTGCTTTTTTTCTTTTTTTGTCACAAGTTTGTGTAGCAGCTAGAGGGAGTTATTCATTCAGATCAGATTGCCCTGAAAGGCACAGAAAAGGACAAGGCCTTGTGACCTTCTGAAACAGACTTTTAATTTGGTTTTGGTTTTTTTCCAAGGCCTTGACAGCTGGAATTCTGCACCTTTCAGAAGCTCTGTTGTTTATGGCTAAGGTGGTAAATATGCAGTTAATGGGTTGCTCATCCATCTCCAGCCTGTGGGTTTTTTGGCATTTATAGTGAATAAAAACCTCAAGGCTGCTTTTTTCTTCCCCTCCCTTTTTGGCTCACTTAAAATCTGTTGTTCTCTCTTTATTGTTCACAGTTGGTCATCAATGCTGCCTTGGGATTTGACACTTTTGTTGTTATGAGACACGGCCTGAAGAAACCAAAGCAGCAGGAATGTGCTGGTGATTCACATTTCAGCAACACCTCTGCTCCTTCTGACCTGCTGGGATCCTCGCTGTTCTCAAATATCCCTGGCTACAAACTGGGCTGCTACTTCTGCAACGATGTGGTGGCACCAGGGGATGTGAGTAGAACATATATGNCACCAGGGAGAGCTGCTGGCTGCCTGCTCCCACTGCAGGTGTGCTGCCAATCCATTCATTTCCTTTCCCCCCCTTTCCTTTTTCCCCTTACTTTCCCCTTTCCTTTCCCTTTTTCCCCTTACTTTCCCCTTTCCTTTCCCTTTTTCCCTTCCCTTTTCCCTTTCCTGCTCTCATTGCAGCCACCAAGACGAAGGTGTGCTGCCAATCCATTCACTTCCTTTCATTTCCTTTCCTGGAAATTTTCTTTCCTTGAAATTTCCTTTCCTTGAAATTCCCTTGAAATTTTCTTTCCTTTCCTTGAAGTTTCCTCTCCTTGAAATTTCCTTCTCCTTGTCCCCTTTCCCTTTTCCTGTTCTCATTGCAGCCAGCAAGAGGACGGTGTGCCACCAAGCCACTAATTTCCTTCCTTTTCATTCTCCCTTTATTTTAAATCCAATTTTATTTTATTTTGTAGTTTCATTGTTTTATTTTATTATTATTATTATTTTTTATTTTTATTTTAATTCCTTTATTTTAAATTTCTGGCCCTGAGCAATAGATTTCTTTCTTTATAGCTTAAATGAGCTTCCCTTTGCCAGTGGAGAAATTCAGTGAGGGCTTCACTGAGTCACAGCCTCAGGTGTCAGTGTGTGTAAATTGATAATTCATCAGCTCCTCCTTAATGCTCCTGGCCTTTCTTGCACCTGTGGTCTTTCTTTCTGTTTTAGTTGTTTGAAAACAGCACAGAAATGACAAAAAAAGCAAGTTTGCAAGGCTTGTTGTCTCCTTAACAAAAATCTGATTCCATTCCCCATAGGACTGACTCTCCATGTGTGTTTAAAAATAAATATCAGTAATATTAACCCATCACACAGCCCAAGCAGGGTGTTCCTGGCACTGTGTTTGTGCTGCTCATGGACACAAAATTCCTGCTACCTACTGAGCAGGAATTT